CCATGGTGAGAACTTGGGATCCTTCCCGTGCTGGGAATCGGGGATCATTCCTGTGGTGGGAATCTGGGATCCTTCCCATGCTGGGAATCTGGGATCATTCCTGTGGTGGGAATCTGGGATCCTTCCCATGCTGGGAATCTGGGATCCATTCCAGGACCCTTTCCCACAGTTGGAACTTCCCATGGTGGGATCCCGGGATATTCCTGGGGTGTTGCCCCAGGGCTGGATCCCGAGGGTGGATCCCGAGGGTGGAACGACACCAGATCCCAATTCCCAGAGATCCCAATTCCCACTCAATCCAGGCCGCTGAAGTTCCCGGGGCGGATCTGTCCCGTCCGTGTCCCGCGTTCCCGGCGTTCATTCCCGGTATTCCCGGCGTTCATTCCCGGCGTTTCCCGCTGCCTTCCCCGTGCTGTCATTCCCAATTATTTATGCTCCCACGGGATAGCAACGGAATAAAACCTTTGCAGGATACCAGAGCCGCGTTCCCGCTTTTCCTTCTCCATCTGGGGGGATCCTGAGGGAAATCCCGGGATTTGCGATTCCTCCGGAGCAGCCGGATCCCGAAATCCAGCGGGGATCCTCGTTCCGGCATTCCCGGCTCATCCCAACGTTTTCCAGAGGGAGGAAAAGCCGGGTGAAGCTTCCCCGGGATCCGGGAGCTCCTCGTTCCCAGCCCAGCGAAGCCAGGAGAGGATTTTCCGGGAGAAAGGCTCCGGTTTTCCGGGATAATCCTGTGGAATTCCCGAGGGAAAACATTCCAGGAGCTTCACTCACCCCCAACCTCGCCCTGGGCTTCATCCAAAGGATTTCAGGGAGGCAAAGGGGATAAAAATCTGGGAATTCCCACTTTTCCAGGGCTGCAATTCCTGGTTTTTAGGGTGCTAGAAAAATCTGGGAATTCCCGCTTTTCCAGGGCCGCCATTCCTTGTTTTTTTCCCGGAAAGAATTCCAGAGGCGGGATTTGTATCAAAAGCTTTATTGAAATTCCTCAAAGCCAAACAGACAAAAACTCCAAAGGTGGCTCTGCCGGGCCCCCAAATTCCCCCCCCAAAAAAATCCTGGAGCCGCTGGATTTCTACACACGGAAGCTTTCCTAGGAAATCCGAGTCACTTCCAAAGGGATTTTTCCCGTGGGATCTGGACATTCCCCAAGGATTTTCCAGGTTTTTTGCCTCCCCCAAGGTAAGAAAATCCAATTTTCAGGAATTTCCATGGAATTTCAGGCGTTTCTCCTGGAATTCCCGGCTTTCTGGGTGGAAAAATTGGGATTTTCCAAGCGGTTTTTTTTCCTGGATTAGGGGTGGAAATTCCAGAGGGAGCTGATTGGGAAAGGGGGGAGGAGTTGGTTTATTCCAAAGTCGGGAAATTTGGGAATTTGGGGTATTTTTTTTATAAAGATTCCCATTTTTTTTTCCATGCCTGCCATTTCCAGGGATTTGGCTGCCACCAAAAATTCCCAAAAAATTCCCCTAAAAACCCCCCAAAAAAACCCCCAAAATAATAAAATAAAATAAAAAATTCCCTAAAAACCCCAAAATTCCCATCCCAAAGGAAAGGAAAAGCGGGAACACACAACACACAGGGATCGCCATCCCGAAAAATCTGACATTCCCAAAAAAACCAATAAACAACCCCAAGGTTTGGTCGCTATTTACAAAGAGGGAATTCCCAAAGTTGGGAAAAGGGGCTGGAAATGGCAGCATTCCCAAAAAAAAAAACCATGGAGCAAGGCAGCATGGCCACCCCAGGGAGGAGCCATTCCTGAAAAAACCGCGGATTTGGGAATGGCGGAGGCGGGAAAATCCCGGCTGCTCCGTGGATTTCGGCTGGGTTTTCTCTCCTGGTTTCGCTTCCGAGACGTCCGAGCTCCGCTCCGAGAATTCCCGGCTGGATTTCCCACCGGAATCTCGCAGGTTCCAGGGATTCAAGGAAAAGGATCCGAGGGAAAAGCAAAAAAAAAAATAAAAATAAAAAAAAATAAAAATAAAAATTCCCAAAGAATCGGAGGAGGAGCGGCAGTAAAAATAGGATTTTATTCCCTTCCCACCCCGGCTGCTCCCGCTCGGTTCCCACGGCAACGTTACAATCCGGAAAAAAACAAAAAAAACAAAAAAAAAAAAAAACCAAAAAAACCAGGAAAAGAAAAGGAAAATCCAAAGGGTCGGGAGTGGGAAAAGGGGGAATTCCGGGATAAAAACAGTCAAATCACAAGAGGGAATTTTGTTTCTCCGGGGAAAAGCCGCTCAGTCGTCCTCGTCCCCCTCATCCTCCGGCTCTCGTTTCCTCTTCTGGCCCCGCTCTTCCTCTGGGAAAAGGAAACAATTCCCGTTATCCCCAGCCCGCTTGGCCGGGAATTCCGCGGAATTCCGGCGGTTTTTCCGTAGGAAAAGCGGGATCGGGGCCGTACCGGGCTCCTCCTCGTCCTCCTCGTCGTCCACCTCGCCGTCGTTGTAGCCTTCCTCATCCTCCTGGAATTCCCGGAAAAGCAGGATGAGCTCGGGATGGGCGCGGGAGCTTTCCCCATGATCCCGGTGGCCAAGGAGGGGAAAGTCCTTGGAATGTCCTCAGCGAGGAGCCGCTTCCCACTATTCCCGGTTTTTAGGGAATTCCCAGCATTCCCGATTTATGGGAATCCCAGCATTCCTGTTTTCTATGGAATACCCAGTTTTTATGGAATTCCCAGCATTCCCGATTTTTATGGACTAGCTGGCTCTGAAATCCCCGGGAATCCTGAGCTGGGAAAATGGGAATGTGCCATTCCTGAGTTTCCCCCACTGGACAGGGATCGGCAGGAGCGGGAAGAGCCAGATTTATCCGGAGCCTCTGGGATAAATCCTGAGGGGCTCGGGAACATTCCAGAGGGGCCGGTGGGAGGGAAAACTTCCCAGAATCCCAATTCCTGCTCCCATCCCCTTCTCCTTCCTCCAATCCCATTTTCCCCCTTCAATCCCATTTTTCCCCATTCCCATTTCCCCTCAATCCCATTTTCCCTCAATCCCATTTTTCCCCTTCAATCCCATTTTTCCCCTTCAATCCCATTTTTCCCCCCATCCCAGACTTCACCTGCCCCAGCCCAAAGCAAATCCCACAATTCCTCCAATCCCGGATTTCCTTCCCGGCCAGAATTCCAAGGCTCACCTCCTCCTCTCCGCTCACATCCTCCTCCTCCCCTTCCTCCTCCTCCTCCTCATCCTCCTCATCCTCCACTACCTGAGCGTCATCGTCGTATTCCTCCTCTGGAAAAACAAAATCCATGGAAAAACTCCAGCTTTCCTTCCTAACTCCACCCAAATCCTGGGAATCCCAGCCGAGAACTACTTAGGGAGTTCTGGGAATGCTCCGGCTGCTCCGCTTCCCGCTGTTCCCAAGGATTTGGGAGCTGGGGAATTCCGTGCAAAATTCCAACTTTTTCAGGGATTCCCAAAGAAAAACTCTCAAATCCAGCAGAAATCCGGGAAGTGCCGAAGCCCTGGAGCGTTTTCCATGCGTTCGGGAGTTTTTGGGAACCTTCCCAGAGTTCCCGCTCAGCATTCCCGGGAAAAGTGCACATCCAGCTTTTCTGCTGTGCCGCTGCTATGGGAGAATCCAGCAAATTCCCTGGGATCGGCCGGATCCTCGTCCTGGGATGGCTCTGGGGGCAGCCAGGGAACGGGGAATTCTCTGGAATTCCCTGGAATTCCAGGCTGCTCCTTCCCTCAGGGAGCAGCTCCCCAATTCCCGCTTTTCCATGAGGATTCCCACAATTCCCACCACATCCGCTCATCCTCGTTCCCGTCATTCCCGATCCCGGATTGAGGATCGGGATTTTCCGGGTCCTTCCACCTCCTCCCGTCGTTCCTTGGGGATTGGGAATTCCACGGGGAACATCCCACGTACCGTCCTCATCCTCCTCCTCGTCGTCCAGCCCCTCCACGTAGCCCTCGGCGTCAGAATCCGGCGCTTCCTTCTCATCCCGCTCTTTCACTAGGGATAAAACTGAGCACGTTGTTCCCTCAGGCCCTGCCCAGCTCCTTCCCGCCCTTCCTTCCCGCCATCCCTTCCCTTCCCGACACAAAAATCCTTCCCCTCATTCCCAGATTCCCTGAGGATGCCGAGCTCCTTTCCCTCATCCCTCCCCTCAGTTCCCACATTCCTCCCCTCATTCCCTCATTTCTTTCCCTCATCCCTTCCCTTTATTCCCTCATTCCCTCAGTCCTTCCCTTCATCCCTTCCCTAATCCCTCTCCTCATTCCCTCACTCCTTCCCCTCATCTCTTCCCATTCCTCAACTCTTTCCTCTTCCCTTCCCTCCCCTCTCATTCCCGAAACCCTCCCTTCATTCCTTCATTTCCTCATCCCTTCCCTCATTCCTTCATTCCCTCATCCCTTCCCTCGTTCCCTCATCCCTCCCCTCTTCCCTTCCCTCACTCCCCATCTCTTTCCTCTTCCCTCCCCCTCTCATCCCCTCATCCCTCCCCTCATTCCCTCCCCTCATTCCTTCACATTCCCTCGTCCCTTCCCTCATCCCTCATCTCTTTCCTCATTCCTTCATTTCCTCATCCCTTCACTCATCCCTCACTCCTCCTCATCATCCCTCCTCTCATCCCTTCATTCCCTCATCCCTTCATTCCCTCATCCCTTCATTCCCTCATCCCTTCATTCCCTCATTCCTTCATCCCTTCCCTCATTCCCTCTCTCCTCATCATCCCTCCCCTCATCTCTTTATTCCCTCATCCCTTCCCTCCCCCATTCCCCCATTCCCTCCCCACCATTCCCGTACCATCCTCCTCCTCCTCCTCCTCCTCCAGCCCCTCCACGTATCCCTCGGCGTCGGAGTCGGGCGCCTCCTTGTCGTCGCGGTCGTATCCGTCCAGGTAGGTGAGCTGCGGCAGCAGCTTGAACACGTTTTCCCGGTAGTCGTTCAGGTTGGTCACCTCGCAGTTGAACAGGTCTAAGCTCTTCAGGTTTTCCAACTTTTTCTGGGAAAATACAAGGATTTGTGTTTTTCCATGGAAACGATCGACTCTTAGGGAATCCGTCCCTTTAACGTGGAAGAAGGCCTGGAAATGGGAAAACTGGGAGAGCTGGGAGCAGCTCCACCTTTTCCGTGTGCTGCGGGACAGGAGATCCAGGAAGGAGCTCCTGGAAGGGTTTTCATGGGAATTATTGTGGCTGGAGGTGGATCCCGAGCCCGCGGAATCCTGGGAAGCTGCGGTGATTCCCGCTGGGAATGGGGGAGCCCGGCCCGGCAGCCACTAGAGGGAAGCAGCGGCTCACCGGGAAGGGGAGCAGGGATTTGGGATTAGCTGGGATTTGGGGAAGGAATGAGGGGAGGATCTGGCACAGATTCCAGGAGCGACATTCCCTGGAAGTGTCCAAAGCCCGGCTTGGAGCAAACCGGGCTAGAGAAAGGAATTCCAACGATTTGGAATAGGATGAATCCCATTCCTGGGAGCAAAACCAATTCCCTGGGATATGGGATGTGGCCTGGATCCCAGGATTAGCTGGGATTTTGGGAAGGAATGAGGGGAGGGTCTGACACACATTCCAGGAGCAACATTCCCTGGAAGCTCCCGAAGCCCAGCTTGGAGCAAACCAGGCTAGAGAAAAAAAATTCCAAGGGTTTGGAATGGGACAAATCCCATTCCCTGGAGCAATCCCCACTCACCAGAGGTTCTATTGTCCCGAGATCTTTAATTTTGTTGCCACTTAGGTTTAGGTGCGTGAGGTTCGGACACTTCTCTGCCAACACTTCCAGGCCTCCTGAGATTCTGTTGTCGCTCAGCTCGAGCTGCAAAGGCCCAAAAAATATCCTCAAAAATCCCATTGGATCCATTCCAGCCGCTTTTCCGCAGGCGGGGAAGGGGAAAAGGAGGGATTTTGGCTCGGGGGAGGAGGGATTTACCTTCTTAAGTTTGTTTAACTTTGGTAAGTTTGCGACTGAGGTTAAGCCGACGTTGATTGTGCTGAGGAATTCCAGCTCCTCAAACTCATCCGTGAGGCCCTCGATTTTCCCTTCGTACGACCGGCAGTTGTCCAGAACGAGCTCTTTCACCTGCAAAGGGAAGAAATCGAGGGAAAAAAGGTAAGGAATTACGAGGAATTAGTGAGAATCGGGAGGTTTTCGGTGGAAATGGCGGGAGTTTGGGGTCGTGAGAAGAAAGCCAAGATGGAGGCAGCGCTCCTGATCCCACACGCTGAGAATAAAACCCCCAAAATTCCCAAAATAAATTCCCAAATCATTCGTTGGGTTGAAATTTAGGTGGAAAATTCGTGGATCTTCCCCTTCAGTGGTGTTTAGTTATGAGGATTCTCCAGAGGATTCAACTGGGGATAAATGAGATTTTTCCCCTTGTGTGAGGGGGAAAAAGCCCATAAAATTCCCAAAATAAATTCCCAAATTACTCACTGGGGTTGAAATTAAGGTGGAAATTTCACGGATCTTTTCCCTCAGCGGTGTTTAGTTACCAGAGGATCCATTTGGGATAAAGAGTTTTTTCCCCTCACGTTCCCCACACACGCCACAGAGTTCCCGCCGAAACAAAAAAGGCGGGAAAACGGCAATGGAGGCGAATCCTCCTTATCCTCATTCCTGCTCCGCCATCCCATCCCATCTCCTGGACACAGAGCCAGCAGGGCTCGGGATCCTCACCGGGAAGCTCCAGGTGCGGTTTGCCTCACGGGAATTTGGGAATTCCTCACGGGAATTGTGGGAGCTGAGGGGAGCGGGGAGGGAGGGAAAGGGCCCAGAGGTGACGCTGAGGGACAAACAGCCCCAGCCCCGACCCCACACACTGAGGGGAAAAGCCACAAAATTCCCAAAATAAATTCCCAAATCGCTCGTTGGGTTGAAATTTAGATAGAAAACCACCCAAAAATAAGGAGAATATGTGGCTCTTTTCTCTCGACCGTGTTTAATTACCAGGATTCTCCCGAGGATCCATGTGGGGATAAATAAAGAGGATTTTTCCCCTCATGTGAGGGAAAAAGCCCCTAAAATTCTCAAAATAAATTCCCAAATCATTCATTGGGTTGAAATTTAGGTAGAAAATTCATGGGTCTTTTCCCTCAACAATGTTTAATTATCAGAGGATACATTTGGGGATAAATAAAGTTTTTCCCCCTCATGTGAGGGAAAAAGCCCCCAAAATTCTCAAAATAAATTCCCAAATCATTCATTGGATTGAAATTTAGGTGGAAAAATCGTGGATTTTTTCCCTCAATGGTGTTTAATTATCAGGAGTCTCCAGAGGATCCATGTGGGGATAAATAAAGAGGATTTTTCCCCTCATGTGAGGGAAAATTCCCAAAATAATTTGGGAATGAAGGGAAGGGAGGGAGAAACAGCTCCAGCCCTGATCTGGGAGGTGGGATATCCATCCCTCCATCCTCTCTCTGCACGGAAAACCGGGAATTGGACAAAAAACCAGTGAATTGGACAAAAATTCCCTCAGGTGTAGAGCGGAGATTTATGGAAAAGCTGGGAATAATCTTGGACCCGAAGGAAAACCCTGGAGCACGAAGGCCAGAGGCCAAACCGCCTTTTTTCTCCTTTTAATTTGCTTTTTTTTTTTTTTATTTTGGAATGTTTTGGGTTGGAAGGAACTTCAAGGATCACCCCATTCCAACCTCTCCATGGAATTTTTTCGGGAAGGCCGTTTCCTGCCCGCTTTTCAGGAATTTTGGTGCACAAGTGCCACAGTCCCTCCTTCCCTGCTTCCAGCACCGGGCACATCCAACAAATCCACAGAGAGAGCTCCTGGAATCCAAGAGGCCGGCTTTGGAAAGCTTGGATGAGTTCAGAGATATTTGGGAAGAGCGGAGGGCATGTCGGTGTGAACTCCCTGAATCCCTGGAAACAACGGCATTCCCAACAAAATTCCAGGATGGCTTCATGTCCTAGGAGTCCCCAAGGAAATCCGGGTGTGCCAAAGGAGGAGGAGCTGGATTTGTGGGATTTTTCCCAGCACCCCACAGCTCTCTTCCATAAAATCTCAGAATTCCGAGGAGGAGAACCCTTGGGAGAGGCCATTGCTTTCCTCAGCACCTCTAACAGGGAACTTTTCCAAGGATTTCTCTCCCTCAAAATTCCAACAGGAGGTGAGAAATTCCCTGAATTTCCCATTCTGATCCCACCTGGAACGCAACCAGGCCGGCAAAAGCTTGGATGAGCTTCCCCTCCTCAATCCCGGGATTAGCGGAGCCGCTCCGAAGGCTCTGACGAGCCAATCCCTGCTCCAGGATCATCCCAAAAATCCCCAAGCTCGAGGACCTCGTTGAAGAACTCATCACTAAAATTCCAGCTGCAATTCCAAGCTCTCCGAGCCATCCCGGTGGAAAGCAGGGAAGGATTCCATGGAAAACCTCCCGGCAGCTGCTCTGGGTCCACTTGGCCGGAGCTCCAGAGCTCTTCCAGGTTTTCCAGAGCCCTTGGAATTCTGCCCAGGGCAGGGAGGGCAGCAGGTGCCACGGCCAGCAGCCACCGGGGATTCCCATTCCATGGGATGATTCCCATTCCAGGGGGATCCTCAGCTGCTGCTGCTGCTCAGGAACACAGAGCTGACCTGGAGCAGGACCCGATTCCACAGGGAAGGGAGAATTCCCAAGGTTTTCCATCCTTTTTCTGCCCTGGAATAAAGAGTGGATGGAATTCCAACCCCAGCAGGATTTGGGATACGGAGCCCTCCAGGGCTGGGAATGTCCGAGATGGGATAAACTGATTCCTGAGGATCCTTGGGAATGCTCCGTTCCCACCCCTTTCCCAGCAGCACATCCAACTGGAATTCCAACCGGGAATCCCAGAATCCTTGGAAAACACCACCAGCCACCGACCCAATCCCAGCGCCTGTCCAGGATTGCACTTCCCTGGGAATACGGGATTCCCACTGGGAATGGCTGAGATGGGATGAGTTGATTTCCAGGCAGTTATCCAGCAGCATCTCCAGCTGGGAATGTGCTGGGAAGAGAATCCCAAAAATCCTGGAGCAGGGAGAAAACGGCCATGGAAAGCGACCCGATTCCCGGGAAATCCAGCAGCCAAATTCCATGGAAATCCAGGGAATCGTCCTAGAGAATCCCACGGCAGGGCCTGGGTGGGATTAATGCGGAGACTGGGATTGGGAGCAGAATTCCATCGGCACCGCCAGGAATTCTCTGGGATTTCTCCAAGTTCTGGTTTATGGGAATTCCCCCTATCCAAGCAATCCTGGTCCCTTCGGCGGGAATCTGGGATTCCCAAGGAAAACCAGGATCCTCGGGAACGCTCCCTTCCCGCCTCTTTCACAGCAGCTCATCCGACTGGAATTCCAACCTGGAATCTGAGAATCCTTGGGAAACGCTCAGGAAAACCAACGGAATGCAGCCATCAATCCAACCTTTCCGGGATTGAACCTTTCCCGGGAACACCAAATTCCCACCCCAGGAAGCTCCAAACCCATCCAGGCTTCCCCAAAATTCCGACCGGAATTCCTCCTCTGCCGCAACTTCCCTGGAAAACCCCACCAAGAATTTCTGTTTCTGGCATTCCAGGATGATCCCTGAGGTTGGAAAAGCCATCCAGGATTGAGCTGAGCCTGATCCCAGGAATTCCAAGGAATTCCTTGGAAACTCCCAGGGCTGGGAATTCCACCAGGGCTGCCTTTTCCAATGTTTATCCACCTTTTCCATGAAAAAATTCCTGCTCATCCCATCCCTGTTCCCTGGGAGAAGATCCAGGTTAAAATTCCAAAGGAATTTCAGGAAGATTCCTTCCTAATCCTCCTTTTCCTCCCCTCCAATCCACGGGAATTCCATCACGGAGCAAACTTTGATTTTTATTCCTCCCAATCCCGGCTTTAAAATTCCCAATATTCCCATTTCTGGTTCTCCTTTTTGGTTTTTTTCCCACCTGAAAATTTTAATTCCAGAGAGAAACATTGGAAAAATCTGTGGAAAATTCCCTTTAAAATTAAAAATGGATTTTAAAAAAAACTTTTTCCTTCTGCTGTTTTCCCCATTTTTTTTGGCATTCCGTTGGATTTGGTTTCTGCTTCTTGAGAATTCCCTTTTTTTTCTGTTTTTGGGAAATTCCAAATGTTCTGATGGAATTTGGGGGTGATCAAGGAATTTCTTCCCCGCTTTAAATCAAATTTTCAGCCTAATTTTAATCATGTTTAACAGGATAAAAAGTGGGAAAAAAACTGCCAAAAATCCAAAAATTCCCGATTTTCCAGCATTAAATCCACATTTTTCCTGAAGAGACTGAATTAATGGAAAGAAAAAAAAAAGGGGGGGGGGAAATTAAAAAATGAAACAACAAAAATGAAACTGAGGAAGAAACCTCTCCACAGAATCCACCTGCAGATGTTTTCAGGATGTTTTATTAATCAGGATATGACTTTCTGGGATTATCCAATGGAAAAGCCCAGAATTCCATGGAAAAACCGGAGATTCAAGTGGAAAATATCCCAAAGAAACTCAGGAAAAAGCACAAAATCCCATCCACACCCAAGGATTTCATCCTGATTTCAGGAGAAACCAAGGAGCAGCACAGAATTGAAGGGAATTCCCAAAACTCTGAGGGATTTTCCCAGGATTTCTCGATATTCCACAGCAAACTGGGAAATAATAAGGACAAACATTCAAAATTAAGGGAGACAATTCCCAAATTCATCCTGCCCACCCAAAACTTCTCAAAATCCAAGAATAAACGACTTTGGCATCAATATTCCTGCCACATCCCAATCCCAGGGGGTGGAATTAGCAGGATTTTCCTGGAATATTTGAAAGGAACAAAATTCATCCCACAAACTTCATTCCCTAAAAAAACCCACGTGCACACAGCTCAGAACACAACAACATTCCCAACTGGAATTACCAGCTCTCCGCTTAAAAAACTTGGAAATTGGGATTTAGAACACTCTGAGGGGGGAAGGGGATCAAAGCACCGAATTCCCTGACAATTCCAAGGAAAAGCAAGCGGCGAAAGGTGAAATTATTCCGATTTTCCAGCTCCCTGCTGCCCATCCCCAGCCCTGAGGAGCAGGGAACTCTTTCCAGCTCCGAGTTTTCCCAACTTTTTTATTTGAAGCAAAAGCGAGCGGAAACAGCACAAAACCCGAGCACGGAAAAGAGGGAAAAATGAAGTTTATGCCTTTGGAGGATGTTTTTAAAACAGCGTTTCAAATGGGGGGAAAAACCTCGCAGCGATGAGGGCGGTGAGGCGAAACGAGGGCAAAAAATGAGTAAGAATAGAAAACTCTTGGAAAAAAATCGGGAAAAAAAAAAAGAAAAAAAAAATCAAGGATAAAGAAGAAGAAAAAAAATAAGGATGAAAAAGAGGAAAACACTTCCCGAGCCCAACGCTGCCTCCCCACAGGGCCCTGCCCAGGAAGGAGGCGCATTCCGCGCTCCTCACCGGGGGGGGGAACCGCCTTCCGTAGCTCCGGAAAAAATGTAATAAAACCCTCATTATTAAAAAAAAAAACAACAAAACAAACCTTTTTCTTATTCTTTTTCCTATTTTAAATTTTTTTTACCCTCACGAAATCTCCTCCCGCCTCGCGGCCGGCGACAAAATGGCAGCGCTGCCCGTCATGTCGGGAGGGCTCCGCCGCAAGCTCCGCAGCGCCTCAGCACCGGCGCCAGCGGGGCTCCCTCACGGCCCCGCGGGGCCGCCCGCGGCCGAGGCAGCGGCGGGAGGAGGAGGAGGAGGAGGCGGCGGCCGTGAGGGGAAG